CCGTTGAAGCTACCCCTCCCCAGTGAGTATGAACAACTCCTGCAGAAAGGTGAGGAGGCTGTACAGAGGGGAGACCTGGACTCATCAGAGAAGCACTTTGCAGCAGCACTCAGGCTTGTACATGTCAGAGGTAGGTTAAAAATGTTGACATGCACAATTTTACACTATCTGAGTTTTTGGGCCCCCTGGTGGCTTTCCTAGGTACTGATTGATATCTCATGATCTAGACATGCTAGGGTCATGAATTTTGGATGGTAGATAGCTCTTGAGCTAGACAAGAAGTGACATTAGTTTGGGTCCCCTAGCAGCTTGTTCTGGAACTGCAGGACAGTTTGTTTAAAGAATCTAAGAAGGAGGATAACTCAAAAACCGACGGACAGATTGTCATAATTTTCAGGTGTATAGGTAGCTTAAGTGATGCTTGATGTAATTAGATGATAATTATGCAAATCATGAGCTAATTTGCATAATCAATGAGGAATTTCTATAAATCTGCTGTATTCCATAATACAGCCTATGGAACACTTGTGACATGTAATTGGGATTGAGAGGTACTATTAATATATAGATTAGATTATGTAAGTAAAGACCCAATTTGCATAATTAATGGCAAATTGCTATAACGACATAGTGGTAACTGCCAGGTAGTTCATACTTGCCACATTTGAATGTTAAGTGAGGTTTAACTTGAATAAACATAATTTATTCAAATCACAACCTCATTAGTATAATTTATGAGGAAGTGCTAGAATAGCCCTCTAAAATAAGGCTGTCATTGGGTGGAGAATATGATCAACTGATATACATATGGATGGAAATGAAAATCAATGATCTTATTTTCCTCATAAATAAGATATTACATGTATTATCATTATAATAAAAATCTATAATTTCCTCAGTCAGAATGATTAACATCATTTGGCAAAGGTATGAGGTCATGGAACTCTTGTTAATTACAATAATAACTTCTATGAAAACTTAGCGTATACAATTTGATTTGCAAACAAAGAAATGATTCTACTCCAAACTTCATAAAGATTTTATTATCTATTTCTAAGTGTAACAATGTTAAAAAGTTATGTACAAAACTTGAACAAATCTGTTGCTTTCCTACAGATCCAACTGTTCAACAGTATGAAAAAGAAGTTTCACCCCTGCACAAGTTGGGTGATGTCTACTGCAGGCGAGGCTGTCAAACAGGAGACGGGGGAGACTTTGTCAAGGCGGCAGCACTCTACCAAGCAGCAGTGGCCAGGTCAAAGGTCTACAGCGAGACCCTTAAAACTGCAATTGAAGAAACAGACGTGCTGTTTCTCAAACATGCCTTAAAGATAGATCATGTCAATCCAGATAAGATAGAAAAACACAAGAAACAGCTGAAAACATTTCGTGAAGGAATAAAACTGGAGATAGACTCCCTTGACAAAGGAGAGTTCTCCTTCATGGATGATGATGAAGTATCAATTCATGTGGAGATGGAAGCCAAGAGAGCTGACACTGTCAGGCAGTTGTTTGAGAAGATTGCAAAAGAAAGGAAGGACTTCATTGGGCAGCTTGTAGACGAGTGTATTGAAGTAATAGGCCCCCCTCCCTGTAAGTACGCCCTGATAGGTTTGGGTTCACAGGCTACGGGACTGGCAACTCCGTACTCAGACCTGGACTTTGCCATCTTGATAGAGGAGGAAAATGAAACAAATGTGGCGTATTTCCGTCGACTCACCCTCTACCTGCACCTCAAGGTGGTCAACCTGGGAGAAACAATCCTCCCAGCCATGGGGATAACAAGTCTGAATGACTTCTACTCAGACGACCCACTGGACAACTGGTTCTATGACTCTGTCACACCAGCAATGCCACATGCAAGCAAGACTCCACTGGGCAGGGGTAAGACAGCTAAACTTATCCACACACCATGTGAGATGATCAAAATCATGCAAAATGACCTGACTGTCCAAATAAAGAAAGGCTACCATCTCGCCAGCGTATTGGGGAATGTGTGTTTGATCGCAGGAGACCAGGACTTGGTCAATGTGCATTCCACCTTGTGGACTGACAGCAACTTGAAAGTAGTGAAGGGACAATATCTGTTTTACAGGGATTGAGCATAATGATGGAAGATACAAATGCTGAAATGTTTACACTCAAAGCTCCAACATCTAGGCTGCTAGATGTGAAGAAAGAAATGTATCGATTTTCCACCGTTGCAGTGTCGTGTTGGGCACTACTCTTTGGAATACAGCCCACCACAATATGGGAGACTATTCAGAAGATGAACATGAACGGAGTCATCAACAGTGAGAACGCGCATCACTTGATGGTGCTGGTCAGCATCTCAGGAGAACTGAGGCTGCGGACATACATGAACAACCGTGGACAGGTGGAGAAGATGTCAGCCTTATCGTCCATGTCTGATAACACAGATATTGAGGAGAAGTTGAAGAAGGTATTTTACCTCTCAAATACAAAACAACTGATGAGGTACCATTACACAGCAATACCATTAAAGGCCTTTATTTCACAACTTACCAAAATCCAACATTCTAAAATAATGGTCAAACCATCTAATACATGTATAAAAATTCTGTTTGTCAATTCGTCACAAATACAAGCCATGGTATATTCAAGTCTGTGTGAGTATGAAAAAGCTAAGTCCTATGCAGCTCGGGCACTACAGGATCGTATTTCTACATATGGTAAATCAGATCCTAACGTCGGCATCTTACTTAACATCTTGGGTGATGCCTGTGGGAAGCTTGGTGAATACAAAAAGGCCGTCAGCTATCATGAACAAGCACTACAGATGAGTCAGATTATCTATGGTAAGAACACTGAGCATCCCCACACCGCCTCGTCACTTAACAACTTGGGTAATGCCTGGGACAATCTTGGTGATTACAGAAAGGCCGTCAGCTATCATGAACAAGCACTACAGATGAGTCAGGGTATCTATGGTAAGAACACTGAGCATCCTGACATCGCCTCGTCACTTAACAATTTAGGTAATGCCTCAGCTGGTACAATCTTGGTGACTACAGAAAGGCTGTCAGCTATCATGAACAGTCACTACAGATGAAGCGGAGTATCTATGGTGAGAACACTGAACATCCTGATATCACCTTGTCACTTAACAACTTAGGTGCTGCCTGGGGACAACTTTGTGATCACAGAAAGGCTGTCAGCTATCATGAACAGTCAGTACAGATAATGCAGATTATCTATGGTGAGGGCACTGAACATCCTCATATTGCCTCGTCACTTAACAACTTAGGTAATGCCTGGTATAACCTTTGTGATCACAGAAAGGCCGTCAGCTACTATGAACAGTCACTACAGATGAGGTGTAGTATCTATGGTGACAACACTGAACATCCTGACATTGCCGACTCACTTCACAACTTGGGCGCCGCCTGGACTGACCTTGGTGATCAACGAAAAGCCGTCAGCTATTTTGAACAGTCACTACAGATGAGGCATAGTATCTATGGTGAGAACACTGCACATCCTGACATTGCCAAGTCACTTGACAACTTAGGTGCTGCTTGGGATAACCTTGGCAATCAAAGAAAAGCCATCAGCTATTTTGAACAGTCACTACATATGTGGCATTGTATCTATGGTGAGAACACTGAACATCCTGACATCGCCTCATCACTTCACAACTTGGGTATAGTCTGGAGGAATCTTGGTGATTACAGAAAGGCCGTCAGCTATTTTGAACAGGCACTACAGATGAAGCGGAGTATCTATGGTGAGAACACTGAACATCCTGACATCGCCGACTCACTTCACAACTTAGGTGCTGCCTGGGATAACCTTCAAGTTGGTGATTATAGAAAGAGATAATGAGGAGTACCCATGTAACGTCAGATCCTAAGATTAAAATCATCATTGACTATTGCTCGTAGTAAACTCATTCAGTCATTGGTGAAAAATTTATACCAATTGCCAACTTCTCCAGGATATAAGGTAAAATGTCAATAGCAACTCATTCCTACTGACATTTTTAAAGTGTCGCTATAATGGATGTGAAAACCTCTTATGATTCTTGTTCATCTTAGCCAGTAAAATCTCAGAGGCATGACATGGTGGACCTTTATAGTTCATTTTGTTCTGAAAGTTGGTGTTTTTTCTAATGTCAGCTTGCAAAATACCTGGTTGCCCAGTTGCCCCGGGCAACCAAATTTTACTTGAGACAACCTATTTTTGAACCTAGGTAGCCCAGTGTGCTACCTGAATTTTAAGAATCCCCCCCCCCCAAATCATGCCCACTTGGGTTGCACCACTGTATCCGGCAGATGCTTTTTAATTTTAGGTATTAATGGCCTATTACTTAAGTATCAGTTAACTTAAGGCTGTTAGAAATATTGTCAAAGGCGTATGTATGTAACATTACTTACTATATATTTGAGGAAAGTAGTAACTTATAGGTGCAATATGGGGCAACCTAAAATTCTGATGGGCAACCTAATTTTTGCCTGGTTCAAAAAAGTATTTTGCACACTGAATGTCCTTTATTCTTTCTTAGTGTAATATTTTAAGCCCTGGAACTTGACTATCCTTGTCTCTCTACACAAAAGTGTTTGATTATGTAAGATCAAAGGCCCAACTAAGAACACCTTTCTTCCTTCAATACCAAATTTCTTATTGGCGGGTTTCATACTTTTTAAGATTGATGTTCTTCCTCTCCCGTGAAAATAACAAAATTTGTCACACTTACCATCATCTTGTGGGAAAAGTTCTAAGACTATATGGTTTTCAATACAAGCCCAAACTTCTTTTAGCCTGGAAGTTTTTACTCTAAGATTTTTGTTCTTACCCCAAGAACACCACATTTTTATTGGGTAAAAATATATTGAATTCTTACTTTATCTCGCAACCAAAATATCTTTCTTTTCTAAAGCACAAAATTCTTGGTACCTAGAAATGGGTTCTTTCCTTTAAGATTTATGTTTTACACTAGAGTAAGGAAGGTTACAGTTATCATCTGCATAATTATATACCTGTCAATCACGTTATACGCCTCCTCTGTACCCAGGATGCACAGGGCATTGACAGCTGCGTATGTAGGAGCCAGGTGTGCCAGCTGTCCTGGGCCACCTGCAACAGGTGTGCAAATACATGTAACTCAGTCTTTAGTCAAAACATCAGAGAAATGCTGCGTGGTTTAGTGATATCACAGTATAATAGGTACAGCACTGCTAAAATTGATGATACACAACAGACCTTTCAATGACAGAGTATTGTATGCAAGAAATAAACAGTCCACATGGTTCTGTTTTGTTTGATAAGATATATAAGGCTGCCCAGCTCTGTCCTGTTTTATTTGAATAAAGATTCTGTCAAAGACTTGTTGTAACTGGATTTAATGTTATTGAAGAACATACATGTATATCAAATGGTCAAATTGTTCAGATACAGGCACAGGTACAGGTCTGAACCTGTACTTAAACCTCTGTACCTGTACCTGTACCTGATTCGTTCAGGTATTCAGCCCAACTGTAGAAGCTAGACACTCAGTCTTACTACTAATATAATACTAGTGGCTGAATGAAGGGTGAATAAAGAAAACTCATCTTACCTCCAAACCCACCGTTTGGATGTTGGCACGCTGACAGGAACTGTGCAATCCTACAATAAATTGTTCAATGTGAGTTAAACATACAACTGTAAATTTATTTATCTAAGCAAAAATGTAATTAGGGAGTAGAAGGAAGTTTTTTCATTGTTTTACATTCACTACTGAAACATTTTAATACGTAATTAGAAAGGCATAGTAATTTTGCAATGTGACAAATTTCCAGTGGAAAGACTACTGCAACACTTAAGTAATTTTAAGATTTACAGTAGTATGTATAGAATATTTTTGTGTCCCAAGGAAATTTTACCACAGAACCCCTCGTCATGCCCTGTGGCTCATGAGCTTCTCATGGTCTATCGTAACTGGGGACTGGCATGTGTACTGGCCCTGGGAACAGTCTATCTTTCAGGCTATGTTTCTGGTTGCAGAGTTGAATGTCTGACTCACTCTGAGACTGTTTCTTCTGGGATGGGTTCCTCTAACAGTTCCAGACCATGGACGATCCAGTAACACAACCACGGTCGGCTGGCATCCAGGCACTGGGGAATGAGGAAACTCACTGTCAAGGGAACTGCATGGCATTTTTGTATCAGGCACAGCAAGCTACTATCACTAATAGTATGTAACTGTAAATCACAATTTTTCTGCAATACTGTAATATTTCAGTTTTTGCGGTCACTTCTGTAGCCATACTGAAAAGTCATGCCGGGGCATCCGGACATACAAATGTGCAAGAACTCCTGCACACAGACTACAAATTTTACTATTAGGCTCACCCCTGAGGTATCGCCAAAAAAAAGAGCAAAGATGCCAGGTGGGCAATGCAACAGATAACAGTCCTTACCTCGTACACATCTGACAGGTGTCGGAGGCCTTTCTTCAGGTAAGCCAGGTGTTTCTCCCTGTGTAGAACAGGGCTGAAATAACATAAAACCACATACAGGTGATTGAGGCGTGTGAGGTTGACCCAGGGGCTTAATCACAATAGAACAGGTCAGAAATGTATCCACTGTATATTGTACTTTTGTATACATTATTAATATGTAGGGCTAAAAATACAAACTGCATGTGCAGGTAAAATTGGAGCTGTGCAGGTATTTCTGATGTCTACCAGGTGTAACCCTCCTGCACTGGTCCATGTGTAATTGGGACTTTTATATCTACACGTAGCAGTATGTGGATTTTCATATGCATTAATTTGGCAAAAATTGACAATAAGTGTCTAGTAACGTATTAACGTTACATATAACGAAGCCAAGCCAACAACAACATTAAAAATAAATTTATAATCATAATAAATAAATAAATAACTCACTCAGCATCCCCATCTGACCTCCGATGGAAGTTTGAGTACAGCTGCTCTACAGACTCCTCCACCTTTTCCTGAAACAACAGAAAACACATACTACTATGGTAGTACATACTGGTACATGTACTAGTATGTCATAGGTTCATCAATACAGAACTCTAAAACTAAATACTAGCAGGATAGGACGGTTTTTACATAACTAGCATGGATACTCTATGATGCCAATAACAAATTTTCCTGCTCTGTTGTGTTGAGTCCTTCAATATTGTGTAGGGATTCAATATTTACAAATACCCATCTCCAAAATCATACAAATCCACCTGTTTTAAATATCATCTGACATGGAATAATATTATAAACACATGACTGTCATGACAACATTTGAAATTCATTAGGTTTCTATCGCAAGTTATGCATCTCATATGGTATAACGGAAGTGTATATTTTCTCAGAGTGAGCCTGGGACGTTCATAGCACGTTTATTAGCTCACCTGCTCAAGTGATGAATGGGTAGCCAGGTCATCGTCTTCAAAACGAAGCGCGTTCCTGCCAGCCTCCTGACTGCGCAGCGCCATCTTGAGAATGTTGAGTCCACTCATAAACGCCCTCTAGCGGGAAAAATTGAAAGTGCAACAAATTTTGAAGCAGCTGAAATCAAACGGGCAAACTGCATGCTGGGATAGTTTCCAGATCCCGAAGAGAAAGATGGTAGGTTTTGATTCTGTCACATTTTAAAGCTGTCGTAGTTCAGTGTTAAGAGCATTTTAGGTATGGTTCTATGGACCGGTAGGAAGGGAATATGTCTTTGTATTGATGACAGTCAGAAGTAGTGTTTTATGCTGTTAGAAATTTAGAAATTACGACAGCAAAATTATGTTTCGCTGTACAGTGCTGACTCACTTGCCCCCCTCCCCACCACATACATGCGTTCGCTCGCACGTATCTTTGAATTATGAGCAATTTGGGGAAAAACAATGCTTTTGGAACACTATAATCCACTTCATATATTGTGGTCTTGTTATTGCCGAGGCAGTGTTATTATTTTCAGTTATTAAAATGTTGGAAATCTTGTTGCTTTAAGACTAGAGTATAATATATTTTGTCAGATCAAAACAGTTGAATAAAGGAGGCTGGAATGAACAAGGAACCTCCTATGAAAGAATAATTTTGTAGCTTCAACATTTGCAACATGTGCAGTACAATCAGATTCAATGGAAGCATACCCTGGCCTCCTCGTGGACAATTCTGTCTTGTACTGTAGTTCCTTTGTCTGTACTAAAGACATTAAAAAAGTACCTTAAAATTTTTAAAACCTTGTCTACAGGTATATCATATATGATAATCAAATCTCCACTCTTTTTGAAACAGGGTCAGAACCAGTCCGGAGGTGCAGGTGGACAGGGAGGGGAGAAGAAAGATGATAAGGTAAGGATGTGACGATGTGTACTCACCTGACTTCAGTTGTGAAAAGCCAGTGGAAGGAGAGGGTTGGGCTCGCAGCCTTTCAACTTGCTGTTTCCAAAGCACACTGCCCCTACGGCCTCAAAAAGAATGAGTGAAAGAAAATTAGTTATTCCACTGTTCCTCATTATTTTTTTGTCCAGGACAAGAAGAAGCGTTACGAGCCTCCAGTCCCCACCAGGGTGGGGAAACGCAGGAAGAAGGGCAAGGGGCCTGATGCTGCCAACAAACTCCCCGCAGGTAACGTTACACACGTTGTCTCACTAGAGCCGACTCACTAGAGGCATACACAGACTAGTTTTGTCAGACACCCCATGAATGCAAAAGAATATTCCAATGAAGTATTTCCCAAGCCTTACACAATAACAATTTCATTTACCGTTAAGTGTTGCTGGCCTTCCTGATTGTAATTCAGTCAGTAGTCAATCTACCGGTACATTGTATATTCAATTTTGTCAATAGAAATATGACCTAATTTATTCATTAAAACTTGAAGCATTGCTGGCCCTCCTATTAGGCTAAACTCACTGTATAGCATTGCCAGGATCCCCCATGCAGACCCTCTCAGAAGTGTACATTGTACAGATTGTTGATCCCTCCCCTCCCCCCCAGTGACCCCCCACACGCGATGTCGGCTGAAGTTACTGAAGCTGGAGAGGATTAAGGATTACATGCTGATGGAGGAGGAGTTCATCAGGAACCAGGAGAGACTCAAGCCTCAGGACGAGAGAGTTGAGGTGAGGGCAGGGGGATGTGTTTTAGCAAACTGTAGTCGTAGTAGTAGTAGTAGTAGTAGTAGTACACAAATGTAGTAGTAGAAGTAATATCCAGGCTTTGGTTATACTGCTGCAGAGGTTCCTGACACAGCAGCAGTTGGCTAGTGGCACCACGTTTCCAAGCAGCTCTGTCCAGCGGGTCCACGCTGGTAAGGCAGAACATACTGCACCTGCGCGAAACCCATATTGTATTGTGCATAACAAAGGCAGAAGTCTTTTCACGTACATAAGTGTGACATCCCATTTGTAGTTTCAAATGTTTTGTCAGAAAATATTGTCTACAACGGGCAAAACTTTGATGAGTTGACCGAACATGCATCAAAAACTGAAAAATTCAAGGTTTCATGCAGGCACAGTAAGTTATGGGGAATGAGTTAAGTGGTCCTTATAGTGCACATTATGGCAACAGCTAGTCTGTGTGTGGCCGGATTGTTGTTTACTGTGCAAGAAAAACTTCCTCTGTTGCAACCCACGGTCAGCCCTTCATGCAGGCTGTGTTACTTCTAATGAGGAACAACTTTTTCCCGTCATCAGTTACCATACTGTCCATTTCATTCAGAGTGAAACTGCAGCTCTGTCTGTGTCCTTGTTTGTTTGTTTAGAATTGCCATAAGTACTATGTACTTGCTAGTCTTCCTGGAGTCCTTTCTAATGCTAAGGTCACATTTCCAATACAATAATTATTCAATACATGACTGTACTTTAATTGACATAAATGTTCAAAATTTCAACTAACTGAGGCTACACAGAAGCAGACTGACTTTAGGTTATGCTATGTGGCTTGCCCCTGAGGCATCGCCAAAAATGTCTCTGAATTCTTGACTGTCTAAATTTCAGGAGGAGTGCTCTAAGGTAGACAAATTGCACGGCAGCCCCATGCTGGTTGCTTCCCTGACTTGGTAGTTGGTTGACTGAATTTGGCTGACTACAAGTAATGTTATTTGGCTTGACCCTGAGGCATTGCCAAAAATGTCTCTGAATTGTTTTACTGTTTAAATCACAGGAGGAGCGCTCTAAGGTAGACGACCTGCGCGGCAGCCCCATGTCGGTTGGTTCCCTGGAGGAGATCATCGATGATAACCACGCCATCGTGTCCACGTCGGTCGGGTCGGAACACTACGTCAGCATCCTGTCCTTCGTGGACAAGGACCAGCTGGAGCCGGGCTGCTCGGTTCTCATGAACCACAAGGTAGTATACTTCTACTCATGGTCTGATTGGCTACAATAACATGAAAATGAAAGAACTTTATTGCTCGACTGTTGTACATGGTACAATGTATGGCATCAATAACAGTGTGATCAATACAATCAAGTCTATTCTAAGAGACTACTAGTATTACTACAGGAATATGAACGTAAACGGTGTATGACATGATGTGCGTTAGGCGTTGCTATGTGTTACAATACTTCCTCCCTTTTGTAATGTACTTCATATATATTGGCCTAAGTACGTAGATATGGAGTCGGGGCATGACATGAGTAGGGCAGTGGCATATTGACAAATGCCACCTACATTTTGAATGAAGTATAAAAGAAATAATGGCAACTTTTTAGATCATCTTTTATGAAATTTGTGAGGTGCAGATAATTTTCAATGTTTCCGTGTACCTGCACCAAAAATAATTAGAACCCTGACCAGTATTGTAAGGTTAACTGCTGTATACGCATTTTGGTGTTTGACGTTCAATATTGTTTTGAGCTAATAGATTTGGTACCATCCACTTGGATTCTGTAAGCTGGCAGGTCTTGTGTGTGCCCTGTAGATAATGATGATGATGATTATGTTGGGTCTGACTGGCTTAACCAAAGCATCAGTAGTGCAGTGTTGTGCCACAAACACTAATATTTTCAGTGTCAGATAGAATAAGAGACCAATAATACATAATTTTTAATGATGCTAACATGTACAAAGTGTGTGTTTATTCCAAGCTAATTCTGGGCATGTTGCAGGCCTGTCCAATAGTTTTTTTACTCACAGCTCCCATTCCTCCCACTACCAGGGCTGTGTAACCCTACAACCCGTGCTATTGGCTCCCCTGCATGAGCTGCGGGTAAAAGCATGTTGTGTTACTGCAGGTGCATGCTATAGTGGGCGTGCTGGGCGATGACACAGACCCCATGGTGACTGTCATGAAGCTCGAAAAAGCCCCCAAGGAATCATACGCAGACATAGGAGGCTTGGATCAGCAGATCCAGGAGATCAAGGTGTGTTTGTTTGTTTGTTTGTGTGTTGATCTGGCCAGGTGCAGGCCATAGTGGGGGTGTTGGGAGACGACACAGACCCCATGGTGTCGGTTATGAAGCTGGAAGCGGCGCCGTCCGAGACGTACGCCGACATCGGGGGTCTGGACCACCAGATAATGGAGATCAAGGTAGTCACGCATGGCCATTGCTGGATCATAATGGAATAAAAGTTTTTTGCACTTAGAATTCTGCTAGCATCAATATATTCGTAGTGCAATGATGATAGAAAATGAAGAAGTAACCAGAAATCTTTGGTCTCGATTGGTAGAGATCCCGATAGATGGATCTGCTGGTACAATCTGCAATTCACTTTCAGTATCGTACAAGTAGAGCATTAAAAGACATTTACCGGAAAGGTGTTATGGCAAGCACCGACTATTCAAATGATGTCAGTAACTACCAGTAATGTGATAGCATGTTTAAGTTTTAGGATATGTTACTTTTAGCAATGTTAAGTTATTACAATAGAGTGTAGAACCAGAGTTTCTATTGACAGAGACTGCAATCGGGATATCTGTCGGTAGAATTGCCATTTCGGAGTCTTTACCTTGACAAATAGAAAATCAATTTCAAATCTTGCTGCCACTAGGTAGTATTTGCCAACACATCTGGTACTTACATGGTACCAGCTTTAAAAGGGACATACAATGTACATTTTGTATTAAAGTATTTGTTTCTTACATATTTCCCACTACCATTAGGAGTCTGTAGAGCTGCCCCTCACTCACCCAGAGTACTATGAAGAGATGGGAATCAAACCTCCAAAGGGTGTTATACTCTACGGAGCCCCTGGAACAGGTAAATCTTACATTTTCAAATGTTGCCAGTTTCTGAATGAGGTAAGGAATGTTACCGAGTAGCCTTCGTAGCTCCTGCTTCTCCTATCTGGTCTGTTTGTTCTCATTCTCAGGGAGTGGAGCTTGTCTCAAGCAATTTGATGTTTCTGACTCAGGGAAAAGAGATGCAGTTCTAGTAACCCAAACTTGCTTTGGTGACAACAGAAGAAAATTCTGGCTTGCTACATACTGGCATACTTTTCTTTAGTGGAGATCTTCAAATCAAAAGTACAACATGTACATGTATTTGTGATACCGGTATGCCAGCATACAACACGTAGGTGAATTTCTTTCTTTTTTTCACAGGTAAAACTCTCCTGGCCAAGGCAGTAGCCAACCAGACGTCGGCTACCTTCTTGAGAGTGGTCGGTTCGGAGTTGATCCAGAAGTACCTCGGGGACGGCCCGAAGCTTGTACGCGAGCTGTTCCGGGTGGCGGAGGAACACGCCCCCTCCATCGTCTTCATCGACGAGATCGACGCGGTCGGAACGAAGCGTTACGAGTCCAACTCCGGTGGTGAGCGCGAGATCCAGCGGACCATGTTGGAACTGCTGAACCAACTGGATGGGTTTGACTCACGTGGGGATGTCAAGGTGAGAGCAGGCTGACTCATCTATCGAACTTGAAACTTGTTGGAAGTTCTTTTCAATGATGTAATGAGTAGGATAGCTTTCCCTGTACAGCTGGTGTTAGAAATATCTACCTGCAGTCTGCATTTTGCAGAGGCATTATCAATATTGCAGAAGAAAAATTAAGCAACCTGCTATTTTGCAGATTGAAAAAATCTGGGTAAGAGTCCAATGATGTCGGCATAATATTGTTAAGGACTTTTGTGTTTACTACTGACTCTATGATATACTCTATGATATGCAATTTTGTATATACCATGATGGGTTTAGGTCCAGACTTGTGTGTATTTGCAGAAAGTATTTCTGAATTGCAGAACAAAATTGTGACATTCTGCAACATTGCAGAATACTGAAAAAAATGTATTGACAGCTGATATCATGTTGAATGTTACCTGAATTCTCTTCTTCTTCCAGGTAATTATGGCCACCAACCGAATAGAAACACTGGACCCTGCACTGATCAGACCTGGTAAGTTGTGTGTATTTGGCACTATTGACCTTTTTTCCTTAGTCAATGTGGGCATGGATCTTACATGTACTTGTCAGATGGGCTTTGCCCAAGTTTAGTACATGTTTGAAGCAAAGATGCAGTCTATTCAAATGATTTAAGTAATTGCCTTCAGCCTGCTAAGGTAGTTGTTTTACACCAAACTTGTACTGGTTATGGAGTTAGGCAGTATGTAGAGGGTTAATGAAATTAATACATGTAATGCTCTTTGTTTGTTAGTAAATGTCAATTTTGCCTCCGTAGGTCGCATCGACCGTAAGATCGAGTTCCCGCTACCGGACGAGAAAACCAAGAGAAGAATTTTCCAGATCCACACGAGTCGCATGACCCTGGCGGAGGACGTTAACCTGGAGGACTTCATCATGGCTAAAGATGACCTTTCAGGCGCTGATATCAAGGTCATTGATCATTCTGCAGGCTGTTTCTATTTCTGTAGTTTGATGAACCATGTTGTATCCATGTAATACATTCTATGCTGTTTGAGAATTGCACAACACGTAGTTAAACATGTGACATCGTACAGTGTATGCCCCAGTAAACTGCTAACAGGTTTCAGAAGCAGCTGGAATATTATTGTAGAAATTGGCCAAATAGACAGATAACATCCAGGGGAGTTGGTCAACTAGGGTTGCCCCTGGTATGTTATCTGCTTATTTGGCCAGTTTCTACGGTCTTTACTCTTTCAATAACCACTTCCAAAGCCTGGTAGAGGCTATAACCCAGTCATGAATCAAAATGGAAAGTATTCAATCAGTCATATGTGGGAGTACATCCTTGCCGCGTTGTCACAAGTGGCAAGAAGTAATGTTTGAAAATGCATAATTATACCACAATACGACAAGAGAAAGCACATCATAATTGATGTAGGCAGCAAAGCAACAACAAAGAGTACCAAAAATTGAATGCTTCTGTCAGAAACATTGGTACAGAAAAGAAATCAGGTTTTGTACCTAAGTAAACAGTCGATTTACCAACTTGATGAAACTATTAACATAGGTACATTCTGTATTTTCCAGGCTATCTGTACAGAGGCAGGCCTGATGGCTCTACGAGAACGCAGGATGAAAGTCACCAACGAGGACTTCAAGAAGTCCAAGGAGAACGTGCTGTACAGGAAGAACGAGGGGACACCGGAGGGACTGTACTTGTAGAAAGGAGAAGGGAGCTAGTATTATATATTAGTTGTTCTACAATTGCTTCATGCAAGCTGAAAAAACAGATGTTTATCGTCATTGTCATTCAAGAACATATACATGATGGGATGTAAACCTGAAAGCACAATATAAAATCCACACCATGCCATATCTATGTTGAAAAGCTGAATATAACAATATACGTGTAGTAGGGAGTATGAAGATGGGATTGGGTATAAAGTAACGAAGTAATACATGCAACTTGAACTATCAGTAATGTTGATTAGTATGAAGACTTTGTTCCAAGAATAATAAACCATTGACACTGTAAAAGATTGTAGTAGTTTCTGTTTGGGTGTTTGTTTGCTTTCCAGACATTTCACCACTAAGAAGAATAACACCAGACAGATTTCAGCCATGTCACTTTTATTAAATATTGACATGCATATTTTGCAACATGATTTTTGGTTCCACAGTAATGATCACAGCTATAAGGCCACAGCTGTTACACAGTGATTATATTGCAGCATCGATACATAATTTACAGCAAGGTAGCATTAATTAAATGGAAGCATCAGAGCAAGTACACAAAATACGTCAGGGTTTCCAACAAAAATACCTTTCTGTAAAAACTGTCACACCATATTTCTCACCACATACACATTTGCATGATTTATATGACTCCCAGATATGAATATGAAATTATTAACTTGCCTTGCTTTTGGACTTGTCTAACTGAACAAAAGTCCCTAAAAGCAGGCTACGTTTACCTGAAGACAATTTCTTATAAGCTTCCCTTGGCATCTTTCTTTCACATTTTGTTTCATTTTAAAAACCTCCAAATAGACCCAGTTCACACCACTGAACACAGCAGTATCACACTCCAAAGAACCAACCTGACTTCATGCACAAACTTAGGTAAGGCCACAGTAATTTAATCTATTAGTTCTCAGATTCTCCCACTTCATATTTTTCTGATTTGCAAAAAAAATTTGAACAAAAAGGTTTGAACTGACTACAAAATGCTTAAGAAAGTCATTGAATGTCTTCCTAATCGTTACCGTTTTTCCATCTATCAATGCAGTAATTTGTGTGAATATTACAAACAAGCCTGGTACATTGACTTCATGGCTCCTATCAGCATTCTGGCTTTCATACGACACCTAAGCCTTTTTTTTCTGCAAAAATCTGAGAAGCAACAAATTAACTTGGTGTGGCCAACAGTCACTTAGAATACTTTTGGTACATACAATAACAGTACAGGTGGGAAACCAACTTGTCATGGATTAATGTTTACATGAAGATCACATGAACTTGTGCACCAGATGATAGTTATTTCGGTGGTACCAACTTGCATTAAGTCCATCAGATGGACTTTACATACTCACAATTACACATTCAAATGCAAACCACCCCGTCATACAAATGCCAAGCTGGGCAACTAAAAGTTGCTTACATCAAGTGGGTCGATTTCTATGAGGAGAAATCAATTATTGAGATGTGACTGGAAAGGAAGTTTCCATCTTTCTAGCTGACTGTACAGTAGCTTCAATTAACAGTCACAAACGTGTACAAAATGCACTCACTAGGCTGTTTTGGACCCCCTATGGCTGTGATTTAGCTCCCTACACTTGTTTTTCGAACAGCCTAGGGGTGTTCCTTTTTGTGGCCCTTCATAAATCTTTTTAATAAAACTAAAATTTGCCTTTTAAATGAAACTATAACAGAGGAAAAACATAACTTTACAAAAAATGTCCCTCAATAAGCAGGAAATAGCATCTCAGAGGGTTATAAGTTTTAAAATTTTTCAGACAGAGAATTCCAGACATACATGTAGGAAGATTCCAGTGAGGGAACATGTACTGCTCTATAATACTGGTATGGAAATATCCTGAACAAGAGGGATGGTATAGCAATATTTTGAGGTCCTTTCAAAAAACAATGGTATGAGGACTGATAAATGGTATTAACATAGGTCAACATACATGTACATTTGCATAGAAAGCACAAAAAAGTGGGGGAAGTGACTGAACTACAATTTTCCCCTTACATATTTCTCTGACTGGAGCAATCTTTTTATGTAGAAAACTAGCAAAACCAATACCAGTATTAGACATTACAACTTTTGTACAAATATACCAAACTTTCCTTTAGCAAAGGTAGAAAATCAGTTGAAGGACATCACAAGGTCATAACACACCTGTCCAGCAGCATTTGCTATTTACAGTGTTTTTTTCTTCCATACAGTAAAAAAAAAATCAATTACATGTACCTGTACATCATAGCCCTTCCAACTCATGACCAAACCCAAAGGACTGAAATGAAAACAAGAAGTAACTGACAAACATATTAGTAAATGTATGGCTGTTCATTATGGTCATTTATAATATACTTCAGAACTACTAAAGTATGACTGATCCACCTCAACCAGTACAGAAGTTAGCACCAAGTATCAACCCTTTATAAAACTTCTTGTTTACTGATCATTACAGACTACACAGAATAAATACTTGCTGTAGGACACCAGTGACAAGTACATGTATGCAAAAATGGACAAAAAAGTACAATTTGTGAGAAGTTTCTGCCCTTGCTCTCTTCAATAGAAAATAAGAGGCATTACAACTCAAGACTGGAACTCAAACTTCATATTATGATCTATACAGTACAGTGCCTATCTATCTACTGATTACCTTTCACAGCGTCAGCTTTCACAAATTTGTCCTCCAAAAAAACAATGTAAAGAAACTAAAAATGTGACATTTGCAAAGCAAAGACATCATATCTACCTTCACACAGTCTGTTTATTCTTACTTCAACACATTCATATTTATGGTGACCCTCCAACTCTGTCCTGCCACTTGCTACATAATCATTAATCTACATGGTGTCTGCTACAGCACCAGTTACCATGGTGACAGCCATCAGGTCCAGGAGAAGAAGGCAAACGTAAAAAGACCTGCTGCTGCATGCATTCTTACAAAAGTGAACTTGGTCCTTGAGAGTTGACTGAGGAGTCCTGTTCTATATCTCTTGGGTTGTTTGTCATGTCTCCATCACATAGTGCTGATCTACATGAGCTGACAGGTGCTGTTGTACCTCCTGTGGCAAAGGAAAAGTCACAACAGCAAATGAAAATCATAGTCATGAATGAATACAAAGCTATAATTGGTGTTTGTGATAAAATAATATGCTATTACTGAGATTTGACAAAGTAAAGTTTAACTGTAAGCTTATCACTTACAAAAAGTCAAAGTGTCAACAAATGTTAAGAAAACATTTGAATTTGACTATAATTTCAAAGTGTTTACCTTTACAATAGTCATGAACTATTAAGCTACCGGTATTACTTACTCCGGGACTAAGTGTTTGTCATAAAACCCAATGCCATTGCTAAGACTTGCCAAAATAAAATCTAAGCTTACCAAAGGAATCATACTGTCAACTAGAAAGGTAACATTTGCAAAGCAAGACCAGTACATAATGATTTTATCTCACAAAGTCTAGCCATGGAGGTTATTGGGAAACTCCTTGGTCTACTGATGTTTATTTGTACTCAAAACCATTGTCAACTGCGACCAACCCCTCCCTCTTTGTCCTGCCACTTGCTACATAATGTATGCCAACACAACAGGATGTATGTAATTTCAGAGTGTGTACCTGCATGTTGTGTTTCTTCATGCAGAAGTCCTTGCCACATGACTTCCAGCAGCAGGTGATGGTGTTGTAGTTGGGCTGGATGTGGTCCGACCCCAGGTGCTGCTTCAGGTGCTCCCGCATGCCAAAGATCAGGCTGCAGGTGCGCCACTGGAAATGGGAGCATTTGGTTCAGTTTCTATAACTGGAGCTTAGACTAAAAACCAAGGGTGAACGCACAGGGGACAATAATGCATTGGCACGTGGAGTCCCTTAAGTATTTAGAACACAACAATTCAACTTTGACACTCAAGCGTTCTCTTATTTGGAAACCAACTGGCGTATACACCAAACATAATCATTCCAACTCACCCAACATCTAAAGTTCTTGGTTAGGTCCAGTGGCAGGGCAGTCAAGCTCCCATCATAGCATCCCACATACACCTGAAACAGTAAATACCAATAATCTTGGATCATGGGAGACTAAAACTTTACAATGTTATTACAAATGAGGAGGGACCTTGTTATAAATGAAGAGGAACCATGTTACAAACAAGGAGGTTATAAACAACATTAAGCGACACTCTTGGTATGAAAGACTTCTGATAGTTGCAAAGAGAAGTGGTTTGGAGGAGAGTTAAAGCACGTTAAAGATCCCACTACACTACACGATGTTCAATCACTTATTTACAAGAGTACAGGTCCTTTCTGGTGTTAGTGCTTCAAATTTTACAGTCTGGTCTATTGCAGCTTGTACTTACTGTACAAAACTGGTGTGTTATGTCTAAAGGCAGTTTACCAGTTATGCAGAACAAACAAAGGAACTACGCTGGTACTGACCATGCTCTTGTGCACCTTGAGACACATGATCATGTCCTTCTGTCCCCCGTACACCTGTAGTTTCTCCTGAGAGGCCACCTCAAACACCCGCACCAGCCGGTCCAGCGAGGCTGTGATCATCACCTTCCCCACCACGTGTATACCCGTCACTGCGTGTGTGTGGCCCTTGTAGATCCCCTGTAACTCCCCAGTGTTGATGTTATGGGCCATGACCATGGTGTCAGCTGAACCACTGTACACTAGGTGGTTAACAACCTGTGTGTGGGAAAAAACAAAGATTCTGTAAGGTCATACAAATTCCATTTGTTGGTTCTGGGAATTTGCAGGAATGCTAATGTATTGATGTACTACAAAATTGTTTCAATGGCAACTTAAAACACCACAAAAACCAAAAGTTGTGCAAGTCGTGCGATTCTTGTTTTAACTGCATTTACTTGTGTAAAATGCGCATAGACATTCATGTAATCGCGCATGGTTTTGCATTACAGATAGCCACTTGTAATTGCAACTATTTAGTGCACATGGTTTTACATTGCACGAGTTTTAACAATACAGTCAAACCTGTAATAGCGGTCACCTTGGCATTGCGGTCACCCGGCCATAGCGGTCGGTTTTTGCCGGTCCCTTGAATTTTTCCCATTGACGTAAGCATTAAGAATCGCGTATATAGCGGTCACTGTTCAACGCGGTCAGCGGTCACCCCATTCCGGTCCCGCCGGCTGTCAACACCGCCGATAGCGGTCACGGCTGGCCGGCAGTTACCCGCTAAGCACCACGTACGTAACACCACCCGACCTCGGGCTACGGCCGTTAGGACGTTCAATCAAGCCTTGTGATAATTTTGTGGCCGCTACATTATTAAAATGTGAACTGAAATTAGACTCCAGATGTGTATGAAATAAAGGAAAACTTGATTTTGACACAAAATTTTTGCGGTCGCTCGTGTTGACGTCTTTGATATCTGAAACACCATGTCGTGCGTGCCGCGGTGCTTTCAGTGGACTCGGCGAAGATTGCGGCAATCATCCTTACAAAAAACTTACGAATATCCATATTTGATTTTTCGATTCCTTGAAAAGCATAAATATGTTGCCAACTTCCCTTTTTCACGGGCATAATTCAAGAAATTTGGGCTGAGAAAATGCGTTTCGTGATTTTTCAAAATGGCGCAGGCTGCAACAACAATCAGGTCAATTGGGGTCATCGGAAGACTCCATTGGTTTGGAGGTAGATGTACCGACTTTTATTAAATTTTATAGCATCAAATGGCGTGATTACATTACAAAAATATTTGGAATACATTATTAAAACTAATTTCTATCGTAAACTTAAGTCTGTAGTGAATATTCTACAAAATATGTAAGCCTGAAAGGAGCACTATTTTTGTTGACCACCACATTGGCATAATGGCAGAGGCAGACAACCCACGCCGGAAGAAACCCAAGCCGTAAACAAAGGAAAGTTTTCGCTACGTTTTCATGTTCAAAAATGACCAAAAAACGAAAATAAACGGCAACAGATGAACAATTTATTTTGCTGTTAACTAAATGGACAGCATCTTGGTACAAAAAAAATCTTGTTTACATGGTTGGAATTCGTTGTGGCGATGTCGGTCATGCGAAGCACTCACCAAAGAACAAAAACATGGCGATGTCATAATTTCTCTTCCACTTTTCGACTTACGGTACTAGTAACGTGGCGATTGCGGAGAAACGATGGCAAAAGCGGAAAGACAGACGTCGAACTTATTCCACAAGGTGGATGTGATTCAACTGACAGCGAGTGAGAAGGAATTATCGGTCGAAGGAGCTTAGATTAAAGGAGTTTGCAGTCGGAAGAAACATGGCTTGGAGTCGACAGAAACTTTGTTGCTTGATTCGCTTTCAAGTTTTCTGTAGGTAACATCGATGTTACACGTACACAAGAACAGTAAATGGCAACCAGTGATTTTGTATATTTTAGTGGGAAGGTTTCATAGTCCCAGTAGATCAACTGAGTATCATGTCGAGTGCATGCAGTTTTGATATATAATTTTTTTTTCAAGCCCACAACTAAAGCAAAAGAACAACAATTGAATTATAACATGTAATGTTACATTTGAAAAGAGACTTACCTGTGCAATGAATGTTTTCATATGTTTGAGAATAAAGACATAAATACATCTTTGTTCAATGGTACTGAAAGCATGTGTCACTTGGGGGGGGGGGGGCAACTAACCGCCATTTCTCTATAGTGGTCACCTGGCCATAGTGGTCAATTTTGGCCAGTCCCTTGAGTGACCACTATAGACAGGTTTGACTGTATTACACAACTTTTACATGCCTTTCAATTGCAATATAAATGTGATTATACACAACTTTTGCACAAGAATTAAACAAGCTGAAACCGGGTGTCAAACACGTAGGAAGGTCTGTACTGTACACAATCCTAAGCCCCTACCTGCATACAGAGCGGTGTTTTGGAGTGTCCTGTGAGAGTTTTCAGCAGCAGTCCGTCCCGAGCGTCCCTGATGGAGATAGTTGCGTCGTACGACCCCACCAGCAGCAGGCGGCGCGGACCCTCCATCCCTGTGGTGATACAGCTGATGGCTCGCGGGGTGTGGCAGTCAAACTTGTCCATACACTTCTTGGTCTAGAATAAAACCAACACCAGAAAGGTTACATTTGCAAGGCAACTCCATAATGTTTACCTTCTAGCCTAGCAAATTTCTGCTCAGTTTATTTACATTCAAATATATGGAACCAATCGTGACAGAGAAGACAGAAAAGAAAGATGTACAGTATTTACAGGGTCATTGTACCAGGGAAATTCTCCTAGCTCAATTACAATGAACAGTGGAACACGGCTAAATGCCCTGTCCTAAGGACTGCGACCTTTTCCTATAGTCGGGTGAGAGAAACAGTGATAGGTGAGTGTATGTAGAATATTTTAGGGTTAAATTCTACTGGTACACTAAGTTTAATCTCTTTCCATATCTTTAAACAGCAATTTTTGTCTGTCAAAGATGACAGATTTGGGAAACTTTTTGTCTGTCAAAAGGAGCAGCAAGATGGATGCTGACTAGAACACTGGTGTGAAATCTCGGGCAGGGGTTGGACTACATCTGTCCTTACCTGTGCATTGATAGAGATGACCTGACCGTTGCCCAGTCCCAGGTACAGGGTGTTCCAGTTCTGGTGCATACACAGCACACGGTCATCCAGCTCATACTTCAGTACACAGGCCGCCGTCTGGAAAACACAAACACGAACTAAATACATGTATCAAGATTCAGTGTGAAATAAAAGTTCTAAACAAGATCTACATGTATGTCACTATGTGCCTCCAGATGTCTTACTGAGGGACAGCTGCAGTGTAAAAGATGTCAGTTAGCTTGAGGAATGAATGCACTACTTTATTCTAAATATCATAATTCATTGTGCCAGTGAATGGGTGAGTGGCCAGGCTAGCAGGTTCAATCCCTGGCATTCCTTGATAGATGTTCTTCCATTGGGAAACTCAAGCACTTAACACGACTTTCCTCCCTCCATCATGTCCCTCTGACATCCTCACTCTACCGGTATGTCTCTTTGACATTTATGCTGATAGCAATGTCTGAGTCCATAAACTATCCAACCTTTCCCTTCTTCCCCTCACCTGCACGTTGTAGCACCTGACAGTCTTGTCACTGGAGCCTGTGTACAGCCTCTCTTCTCCACCCTGGCTCCTCAGCACCTGCAAGAGACAATGGAAGGTTCAGCTTCTCCATGATTTACTAAATAAAAATTTTTATTATCATGTATCATTGCTTAGTCAAAATTTCAGAGTCTGAGGAAATTGGACATGTTCACAGAACTTAATCTTCCTAATGGTGGCAAGTGCATCGAGGAGGGGCAAAGACAAATGATTTAATAAGTGATAAGTTCACGGTAAAGAAGAGACCATGAAAACAGAGAACATAAAAGTACCATGAAAAGATCAGGAATTACACTTTTTTACAGTACATGTATTTAAAAACATTAAGTATGCCAGTTGTTCCGTTCCCTCACCTGTAGACAGTTAATCTTCCTGTTGTGTCCCCTGTACACCTGTGTACACTCTCTACTGACCAGACTCCAGGCCTTAGCCACCATGTCTGCAGACACACTGTACAGGTAGTCTCCTGAGATCTGGGACCAAAAAAGTGGTACATTGTACATTAGTTACTACAACCATCCTATAAGTTGTAGTATATTATTATATATATATTAAGTATAACAGTAACTGTTACAGTCAATCAGGAAAGGAAGTTGCTGTCAGCTTTTCAATGCCAAGCAGGGTTCTCACTAGGCTATTTGAATCAACCCTATTCCAAAGCATACTGCTGCTAAGGCAAAAATAAGATGTTGAGATGTAATGTACTAAGTTCAATCAAAGTTCATTACATCTGTGAGGCAAAAAAGCGATGTCGCTGATGAAAAAGGGTTGCTTGTTTTTTTATCGCAGGCTGGTTCTAGCTACATGTATTTATTGGTGGTACCTAAAAATAAAGGGACTCGTCACGTAGCTTCTTTTGGGGCTATTTCAAATGCTTAAAGTATGGAATGATTAAAAAAATGTGATAAGAGATGGCAGTAAATGTCATTATCTCATACAGAATTAGTTTTCGTTTTGCCACCCTGAAATTATATTGGATGTGGAATGTTTGAATGTAAAGATGAGTACCTGAATAGCCACCACTCCTGCAGTGTGCCCCACAAAAGAACCAGGAGTGTGGTCCTGAGTCCTGTTCACTCCAGACTGGGCTGGGTGGTCAGACTGACTGGACGTCGGGGTCTCTTTTACGTTCCCTACACTAGAAGCTAAAATAAGAGGGGAAAATATAACAATTAGATCAAATTTGCAAGTCAGAATGTTGCAGCTATCCATATGAGGATAGATATCTGTGAATATCTGTGAATAATTTCATCAGGTTGGTAGGAGACCTTTGTACGACCAGCATGTGAATATGCCGCCCCAGCGTGGCACCCCGGACTAACTGCGGCACAAAGAGCAAGGATTGAGGTCATCCAAAGACGAGCATGCCGCATAATCCTAGGCTCCGCGTTCACCTCTTACACCGAGGCTTGCAGCAAACTGGACCTACCGACATTAGAAGTCTGGCGCCGAGACATCTGCCACAACTTTGCTAAAGGACTCATATGCATTAAGTCAAACACATTCAGAAACTGGTTTCCTCCTTCCCGCGGCGATGTCAGCTCCAGAGACACTAGAAACAAACACCTTCTGTCCACATTCATAGCACGAACAAACAGATACAAGAACAGTCCAATTCCGTACATGATAAAACTACTAAACGAACAGTAACCTCTCCACATTTAGAACATTATTACTATATGTAAATATTAATATTTGTGCCAAATGCCAATTTGTATATAGCCTTGTCTCTTGATGTGAAAAGTATGTAATTCAGCCACTTTATTTGGCTGCCATGTACTTTTTAAGGATCATGTTGATGTTGATCAAATAAACCAGTCATTCATTCATTCATTCAAGAGACTGTGTAAGAAGGGTCTTCATTCAATGTGTGTTTTTACATTCGACATTTTGGTGAGCATTTGTTATCTTCTTTAGGGCAGCAATGACTGTTTCATTCTGATTCATTCCAATGTAGTAATCTGTTAATCAGTACTGTTCTTGACATGTGACAACACTGTACATAATAAAATTTGTTAATCTGAATCGAAAAGTGACATTGTAGTTGGACATCTACATTTAGACTTACCTTCTTTCTTCAACTGCTTCCTGATCTTTTGTGCCACAGCTGGCTCAATCAGCAGTTGTTCTCTGCAAAAATGTCAAAATGCAGTAGAAACTATGACAACTATAAACAACATTCTATGGGAACTGAATGGTTAAATAATTGTTAAGGTCTAGGATTATAACATCTAAAACTAGATATTTACGTATAATTACTTAGTTCAACATAATACTGTGTACGATTGTTGTGCAATTAAGTTCTTCTACTCTGTAAAGAAATGCTGATAGCTACAAAGACCAGACCAGTGCTAACCTTGACAGTGTAGGCAGCCTTGCTCCTTCAGGTGGGGATGAGTTAGTAGTAGACATGCCCATACAGGTGGATGATACCACGTTCTGTTCTTCAGTAGGGGACGCAGGACGGCTGGAGGTCACCTGGTCTTGTTTATCCTCGTCATCCGAGTCTATAACCAACACTTCCATCGCCCGTTCCGGTACGTCGATCAGCGAAACGCTCTCCGCGGGGCTGGCCGGCCGCTCTCCCTGAAGCTGTTCCGTGCTGTCCGGACTCTTCATCTCCTTCCGAGGCTTGGACAGCGCGCTGTCCACAATCTCTGAGAAGCTGTCTCTGTCGGGACGCTGTTCTGCACTCTGCGCCCACGCGCCCTTGCTTGCGGACTTTGCTGACGTCTTTTTTGCTGATCGAGGCTTCCTTCTTGGCACACGAGGGTGGTCGTCTGGACTTGTCTCGGACGGCGCTGCCTGGAAGAACGGCTTTCTCTTCTTCCTCTTTCTCTTCGTGCCCTTGGAATTTCCCACGCTGTCTACACTGGACGCTCTGCTTGGCGGCCTCATGGTACTGTCAGTTCGTGCCTCTTTCTTTTCCCTACCCTTTTTTTGTCTCTGTTGTTTCTCTGTTGTGCCTGCTGCACTGTCTTTTGTTGACGTACCGGGCTGAGCAAGCAGCAAGTCGTCTACACTGCACAGAGTACTGTCACCGCTGCCCTTTTTCCCTCCGTGTATGGACACCACAGGTGTACTCTGAGGGGTGTTGACAATGTCTTCACTTTCCTGTAGGAAGTGTTGGGAGGCACTTCTCAGCTGTTGGAAGTTAGCAGCCAACTGTTTGAGCATGGGGCTCTGGTACTGTCCCTTCTTTTCTTCTGCACTTACCTCTACCTCCATCCTAACCCCAGCTGGTTTCTTTTTCTTAGTTTGCTGTTTTACAGGGGATGGTGTGTGAGTCTGCGACTGTTCTGCTCGCTGAAATCTAACGGAGGAAAGACAGGTACGGTTCTTTCCCTCTACGGTTCCCACTACTGGAAAGCAGCGGTACCTGGTGAGGTATTGACGGCAGGTTGGTCAACAAAACCTTCGTTACACGAGCTACGGGCGGTGGACTTTGCAGACTGGTCTTTTTGTTTAACAGTAGACTTGGCAACGAGAAGGCTTGCATAAGATCCTGATCTAGTACGGGCATCGGCGAGAGATCCCGACATCAGGAACTCCGGTGGGGTGGCGTACTGACTGACGCCCTGCGCAGACAGACTTGTGGGAGACACGGGTTCCTCCTTCACTCTCACCACGGTGGTGTCTCCTAGGGAAAGGTTCAAACTGCTGTCAATCTGTACTGTAAGGTTGGACTGGAGACCACTGGTGTTAGCTGATGGGGAGATGGCACTTTGGTCTAAGGCAGACAGAGTGGTGTTGTGCGTGACGGCGGCCTTGCTGCTTTGGTCCATGGCTGATGACGAGGGGGGGTGGGGAGACTGGTCCCGGGGGGTGCTGTGGGTGGGGGAGGCCACGGCGGTGGAGGCTCGTGAGTTGGAGGCGGAGCTCCGCTGGGAGACGGCCCCCTGCAGAATCTCCAGCCTCTTCTGTCTCAGGTGAGACACCTGCTGAACAACCTGGAAGAAAAGATACAGATGTAAGGAACATGTCTTAAAGGGACCAAAAGCGATTTCAGGGCAGTTAAGCTGGATTTTCAATTCAATTTACTGGTCCTTTTTCAAACATAGGAGCTTAATTCCGTCTATCCTATAGCATAATGATATCTGTGAGTGTGAGGCAAAAATGAGATGTCCCTGATCTCAAATTCTATTGTAGGTTGGTTCTGTAGCTATCTTTTGGTTGTTCCAAAAAAATTTAGGGAATTCTTTCACATTGCTTCTTTTATTAACGATACATCCACAATGTATAAAGTACAACTTGTTCCAATCTGTCTTAAAGTGAAGAAAGAGTAAAAAAATCAATGAAGATGAACATATGATACGTACATCTAAGTATGTGTTTGGATATCACAAAACAACAACTAGACTTTCAACATTCAAGTCTCAGGTAAGGTCGAATGTACGAATATACTGTAATTCTCTTTGTCTGTGGGAAATGGACATGTTCACGGAACTTAATCTTCATGGTGGTTGCAAGGGAGAGGGGGGCAAAAGATGAATGATTTGATGACAGCAAAAATAGGTTCACGGTACAGAAGTGACTGTGAAAACACAGAACATAAAAGTGAAAAAAATCACGAAATACAGTTGTGTAGGATTTTCCCCACCTGAGCTTTCTTGACCTCCAGTTGGTGCAGCTCGTCCACAGCCTTCTGCATGATGACCTTGACCTCTGCGATGCGCTGTTCCACGGCTGACTGTCTCCTGTGCAGCGCCTCCTCCTGTAGGGAGATGGTCAGCAGCTGGTTCAGGTTGACCCGCGGGCTGGTCTCCGGCTCTGAACCGTCCGGCGGCTTCCTCTTCTTCACCTGGTCCTGCTGCGCCGGTCCGGCTGTGCTGCTCGAATCTTCCGCCGCCTCGACTTCAGCGTACGTCCTCTTGTTTCTCGTGTTCTGATCTTCTCTGTTCTCCTGAAGTTTTATATTTGTTTATTGTTTAGTTGCATATCAAAAACAAAAGAAGACAATTTGTAGTAAACGATATAAGGAGCAACTGGAAACCTAAAAGATTTATTAGGGGTTTCCCATTAAGTGAAATTAATAACCGGTATATATTTACTAGACAACTACTTATGGTAAATTACTGATAATTTCAAGACACATACATTGTAAATAACATAAAGAAACAGTAAGAAAAAGCAGATCATTATAGATACACAAGAAAATAGGGAAAACCAACTAGCATTAAATATGAAATAATACAATCAAATGAGACATCAAAACAAAAACAGAAGAAAAATCAAATTGCATCAATTGCTTAAGCATAAGAACAAAGTTTTACCTGTGGCGAGGCTGCTACAACATCCGTATCCTCTTTTTCCTGCTTGATGTCACTAATGCGTGGCAAGGGTGCTTCCTTCTGTGGTGGGGCTGGCACTGGAGTCTCTTTTTCTGCAATGGGAAGCCGCACTGGCTCCGACTGTTGTCCCTCTTCGATAGAGCCGGGAATATCGTCTCTGCGCTCAGACTGGACTTGCTGACCGTCAGACGTCTCTGTGTCTCTTGGCTCAGGTTCCTGTTTTACTACCTTGGCTGTTTCTGTGTCAGACTGATGGAGGCGAGAAGGAAGGACAGTCAGATCTGTGGGTTCTTCCGATGCTTGCGCCAACACACGGCGATGCCTCTGTACTCTTACTGAGGAGCTGGAACTTGTCCGAGCACTCGGCGCTTCTTCCAAACTTGGGAAGTCGTCAGAAGTGGGCTCTACCTTCACTCTAGTCCCGCTCCCCGCCGTACTACGGTCCTCAGGCCTTTCCGCCGTTTCTTGCCCCTCGTGGTCGCTGTCTGCGGTGATGTTTAGCTCAGCCGCGGCCTCGCTGATCTCCTTGAGCTGTTCCATGGACAGCTCGTGCAGGGCGATGTCCTGCAGGTTGATGGTGATGGCCTGCGGGTCCAGGTCGTTTGGGTTACCGGAGAGGGAGGGTGGTCCCAGCTGGAGACCAAACCTGGGAAGTCTGGTCGCTTTCTGTTTTTGGCCCTGAAAAAACAACAAAATTGCATTGCTGTAGGGAAAAACTTTATTTATCATGTCTCTCCAAATGTCAATTGGCTAGATTTTAGATTACCTGACGAAAATAGATAGAGTACTCTATTTGCTTCAGGTAAGATTGTGCTGCCTGCACTGGTAACATTGAAAATTACCCGCACCAGACAAATTTTACCTCTACCACTTAGAATTTAGGAAGTGTGGATCATACTAAAAACTGTTCAGAACTGAAAGCAATTGCCATTACATGTATTTGTTTATACTTCATATGTGGTGACAGTCAATGCAGGTAGACATCAGTACCTGTATCAGTACCTGTACAAGTATCTGCACAGCTCCAATTTTACTTGCCTATGCAGGTGATATTTCCTACCCTGACAAGACACACAAGTATGCCACAGTACAATGTACTTGACTATGAATATGACTTCCACTGACCTGCTGATGCTGTACCAGTTGGCTCCACTGCTGGTGTTGTCTGTTCCGTGATTTGGGGGAGTTCAGGAACTGGATGAGCGCCGAGGGCAGTCCGGTCTCCGTGACGTCTCCCTTCCGCTGACTGCTGCCCGGCTTCAGCCTGCTGCGGGCTCCCGCGATGTTCGGCTGCATGGTCCCGCTGCCCGCCTTGTTCTTGGCGGTTAGATACTTCCCCAGTTCTCGCTGTAGGTGTGGCGGCAGTTGGAGTTTCTCCAGAACCTTCGCCGCAGCTCCTTCCGAGTCACTGCCGTCACTTTCGCTGGTTCTCCGGATGCGCTCTTCGCTCGGAGATGCCGCAGCGTTTTCACCAATTCTCCTCCCGTCGCAACCGCTAGGATTTCTAGAATGCCTCTCGTCTGGACAACTAGTGGACCTCGCCAGTACTGCAACACGGGTGGGTTCCCCGCCCCCGATGCCCCTCGCATCTTTGCTTTTCAAGACATTGGTAGGAGACTTAAAGGAGTCCTGAGGATAAGGAGGGAAGGAAGACTTTGACTCAAAAAAGTTTGAGTGGCCGTACTTAGCCCTGAAGGCTTCGAGAGAAAAAGTTCTGGGAGAATCTGGTGTAGCTGTAGTAGTAGAAGTAGTAGTAGGTGATGAGGTAGTTAGAGAGTTGTCTTTTGTTGCATGCATTGATGTTTCTGTAGTAAAGATATTCCTTACTGAAGCTGACGTTTGGGTAGAAGAGGGTGCCTGCGACATCAGTGCAGGACGGCTGCTTGTTGCAAACGTTTCTGGGTTCTGGTCTGTTGCTCTTTGTGATGAAGAGGCAGGCTCACAGGGGATGTCTTTTGTTGGCCTGCTGTCTGTGTCAGAGATGTCCCCAGCTTTCTTCCCATCCCTCTCAGGCAGTATCTGCAGGTAGCTGCCATCATGACCAGAACCTCCCTTCCTTTCACTCGCCTAAAAACATTAAGACACATTCTATTTATTATTATATTTACCCAAAGAACGAAAGCACATTGTTTCTTCTTAATATTATCCCTCTTCTTCTTCTCCAACCAAACAAGGTCAATGACCTACACCAGACAGCTGTTACCATGGTACATGTGGTTCTGTATCAGACACCCTTGATGATGGATAACATTTTGTAGCAAGTGTCAGGACATAAATGGAGGGGCTGGTCACCATGTATGAATGTGAAAATTTTTTGCTGGACTAGACCAGGTGAAGGTTAACAATAACATAATGAATTTTCTTTGCAAATGTTACTTTCTAGTTTATTCTGAGATAACACAATGCAACAATTGATTTTAACACATAAAACACTGATTAACCAGTGAAACAGCGATATATAGAAATACACACATGTAGCATCAAGTATAACTCACCTCTGGAGGTTGGGGGACTGGAGCTTGTGTCTCTAGTGGGAGGGACGGCACAAAGGGCAAGTCTGGGCGAGTACGTCCTGCAAAGTTTAACAGCGACACTTCAGAATCTATCTTTAGTACAATCTCTAAGAATAGAAGGACTTACTATGTATACACCACCTGCACTTGCAAATGCAAATGTTTGATATACAACACTGGTGAGCTAGAACATATGTGCTTGTGCAAGGCTTGAAATCCTTTTTTCTGCGTATCTGCACCAGAAAAGTTTTACGTGCACCACTCAGAATTTAGCTTCAAGTTTGACTATAATTTATATTGTCACTTTCGGTCGCCAACGATATTAGCAACACTTGAGTACCTGGCCGCTCATCGTTGCTGTCTTCTGTGTCCATAGAAACTTCGTTGTAGTCATCGAGTAAGTCGGTGGGGAGGGGGGCAGTGCCTGGCTGTCTGGCTGATTTAACATTGTCCTTAGTAGGACAGGACCACTGTCGCCTCTCTTCCTGCTGTTTGGACTGTGTGGAAAACAGGAACAGTTTGTTGACAGTTTGTTGAAACCTTACACCAAGTTTTAGCCCTGCCCTATTACAGCACATCAGGGGTGTATACCACACGTAAGCAAAACCCAGAGAGTTTTCATGGTTTTTCTTGGATGTTGGGTCAAAATTGCATCAGAATTTTGCCCATTGAAGACGATATCTTTTCTGACACTTAAAATCTGTAAATATGCAAATAATACCAGTACCTTTAAAGAGCCGTTCTGCCAAAGTGCTATGCACATTATGGATTTCTCGACCCCAGTAAAAAACTACATACCAACAATAAAAAAATTTATCAAACCCTCAGTAAATTATAGCTGCAAACACACATATTAAGATTTAAAAAAATACCTTTCCATGGAAGAATACAAAATGTATCTCCTAGCCCAGAGGGCCTGAGGTAAAAATTACAAGAGGATATAATATCAGATGGACTTACCTGATCCTTCTGTACACCAGGAGTAGACTCTACCTCTCCTTCCTCTGTCTTCCCTTTCTGTTCTCCTCTGGGTGTCAGAAACTTCTCCATCCTTCGTTTCACCTTCTGTTCCAAGGGCAGCTTCTCACTCTCACTCTCTCCCTGCCTCTTTGCCCTGAGCAGATTGCCCAGGTTCTCTGCCCTACTGAGTACTTGTTGGACATAGGAATCCCGATCTACTGCCTTATTGGCCTTATCTGAGTCAACGATTGTGGGCCTGAGAAGGTCCTTTTCGGTGGGCTTGAAACTACCTTTCCTCACCTTGCTTAGCTCAAGCAACGCGGCTTTCATGATGGGAGTTTCTACGGATTTCTTGCTAGAACCGTGCAAGGTTTCGCCCCGTCTTTCCGTATCTGACGAGCTTCTCTCCTTGTTAACGGCTGTCTCTGCTTTCTGTGCCGCTCTGAGGTTAGAGTCAGACTCTCCTTCGGTTTCGGCAGATTTTGTTGCTTCTAATTCTAGAGCAATGTCGAGCGAACGCCTTCTTTGAGAGGTCTGCCCGTTTGTCCTTCTAGAACCTGGCAAAGAATGGGGTCTTTCTGAACTTGGATGCCTTAGGCGTTCCCTTTCTCTGTCTTCTGGAGTTGCATGGCTTGACCTAGACCACCTGTACCTACTTGAAACGCTAATGTTGGCTCTGGAATCAGAAGGGGTTTCCATGTTACCTGATTGCGTACTGTCTTGAGCTGGCTTTTCCAGGTCCCTCTCTGGTACATTTGGGTCTCTGTCTCTACCAACAGGATATCTATCTCTCTCTTGGCTCATACCAGCAGACGGCCTTCTTTGATGGGTAAAAGAATCGTCCTGCGTGTGAGGTGCATTTTCTCTTCCTCTGGCCCTGTTTCTTAAGTCGTACGGAGAATACCTCCTTTCGTGTGACCGAGACCTTTCTGTCTCCCGGCTGAACCTATGACTGTCTTGTCTGTGCCTGTTGTTAGGTCCAGAGTACTTGTAGTTAAAGGCCTGGAAGCCATCCTCGTACGCGAACGAGTCTACGTAGTAGCAGTTCTGCGGCGTCTGCTGCACGTTGCGGTGGTACGGGGCTGGGGCATGCTGGGACCACTGCTGACCAACCGCAGCCTGGTACTCCTCACCTGGACTGTTCCATCTTGGTGAGGTCGCAGGGGGAGGACCGACGTGGCTTCTAGTCTGATCTTCCCAACGTCTGTGTCCTCCCCTACCCCTACCCGGTGTCTGGTGAGGGTCTTGGACGTCCCAGCGTGTCTGCCTGCCCCTCCCCATCCCCTGACTACTACCCCCTGCCCCACTCCAGGCATCTTGCCCCTCAGGAGTACCTTGATAGCTTCCCCTTCTGCTGGAAGACCTGGGAGTTAGCTGCTTGCCTTTATCGGGAGGGGAGTCTCTCCTGTGAGATCTAGAGTTGTCCCTGTGTGCAGAAAAATATGTAACTTGAGAATAGTGTATGCACAAGACTTAATCAACAACACAAATTTTGTGTTGTTGGAAATGTTTGGGGGACCTGTAGCAGGGTTCTAGCAAGTGTCCTTTGACAGAATTTTGCCACTCATAACAGATAAAAGTTTTGCCCATCTTTGACAGACAAAAATTAGTGTTAAAAGCTATGGAAAGAGATGTCATTGATTAAACTATTCAAGCTTAGTCTACCAGCAAAATTCGCCACTCAAAATGCAAGAAATAACTTTTCAGATGGAGGTTCAAGATTTTTATATTTTCCTGGGAGGCTGGGAAGCATGCCCCCAACCTCCCTAGGATTGACATGCGAGCTCGACATGATGTTACGTCAAACAAAAGAGATGACCAAAAAAGTTTCAGGCCTGCTAAGTAGTGCTGTGTACCTAGACCCATGTTCAGATCCGATTCAAGTCCTGAGGTTTTTAGGTTCAGGTCTGGACTTGTGACTCTGGACCTAAACCAAGGGCATATACGAAATATGGAACGGACTTCTTAGTGAACATTTCCCAATGGAAAATATGGGGCATCTTTGCCACAAAATTTTCCTACAAGGGCGAGACTGACACCACTTGACGATGCCCAATGGCAATGTTTTCTTTTGTATAATGTCCTTGAATAGATAACAAAATTTGCACTGCAAAATCAATCAATCAATCAATCAAGCCGCAGAATCATGGACATTATAATGTCCTTAATCTATTGAAGATTTCAGGTGATTTAGAATAAAAAGGGGAATGTGACATTTCTTTCAAATATAAGTCTGGAACTGGTTCCAGGACAAGTAAAAAAAAACAAAACTTTTTTTTACTTGAACCTACACATTTTTACAAGTCCAGCAAACTGGTACACAGCACTGGTGCATACTGTGATCTATATTCTGACCTTTCCCTTGGTGGTGAGACCTTCTTTCCCTCCAGACGTTTCTGTCTGTTCTGTCGGTGTGTATCAGAGTTCAGGTGTTTGACATAAGCTGACAGACCCACACAGGTCGTGTGGCACAGGGTACAGTCATGGGCAGAGTTCCTGACAAGGAAAAAAAAAGTTTCTAGTCATTTCGGAACCTATCAATGAATCATTTTTTTCTGCAGTTTCAGCAAAAATTTATAATTCGATTGGGAAAACGAAAGGATGTGGAAGACAACTTACATGTAACTGTGCACTAGCTCAAAATGAAATGACAGATTATTATAACAGCAACACTAAAAATACAAATGTATATACAAGATGTGATTTCAATATCATTATACTTGAAGTTGTACTTACTTTCCATGCTGGGCCTCATACTCCTTATGATGAAGGAGGCTCCAGCTATGTTCTTCCAACTCCTAAAAATAGTAAAATTAACAGTAAAAATTAAAATAAAAGAATCAAAAAAAAAGAGTATAATCTGTACAATCATTTTCTTTTTCAACTGAGCTTGAGTAACTGCTTTTTGGCGTATTTCTTTTTCAACTCCAAAGATAAAAATGACTTTGCAGAATCGACAAACTACATATATACTGTATAACTATGACTATGAGTATGAATTTTTGATCATTGAATGTTGACATGCAGTGTTATCAATGCAATGATTTTGATGTTGAATTTCCATTGCAGTAACTTCAATGACTTAGCATTGCAAGATATTACAAAAATAAAATATAAGTTACATTACTAATACCTTCCCTTTTCAAGAACAGAATATACTATTCTACTTTCAAGTGTAAAGAAGCGTAACATCATACGATTCAAGAATGTGTTCCATTTGTATTGTAACTTACCTCTTTAGTTATGTAAACTATCTTGCACAGCTTGCATATGATTTTTTCCTTGGCCATGGTGGTTTTACTTCAACCTTCTGAGAAAAGGCAAAAAATTCATAAACATTCACATTCTACCTGCATCATTCAACATTTAGGAAGCATGGATTATCCTAAAAACTGTTTAGAAACTATTACCATTATTTATTTATACTTCATCATTGGTTTAATATTAATCATAGCTGGTAACACTCCATGCAGTAGATAAAAATACACATACACTGTACACCACTTACTATATTCACTTACTTTTTGTATTACATGTATTTATAAATCCAGTACATCGACCGGTGCAGGTAGACATCAGAAATACCTGCCCAGATCCAGATTTACCTGCACTTTTAAACCTGTATATACAGGTGTTTTTTCCAGCCCTACAAATGGTGGTTATAGTTATACTGGTTTGACATAATAGATAACAGGCTAATTAGTATGTCTACTTTGGTGTCACTAACATTTTGAACTGAAGTGGCTAAATAGGCTTAAAAGATAAGTGTCATAAATCTTGTCCAAACCACTTGGGTGTTGTCTAAACCTGTTTATACCAAACACTTAGGACAGATACAAAGACTCTCTGGAGGGTAACAAGTCCTCTAACACGGAATGTGATATAGCTAAAGAGCCAAAATACCGAATAACCGTTCCATGTTAGACAACAAAGGCGAGTGGACATACATCGTTGGCTACTCTAAACATGTAACTCTATCCGCCACCTGCTAAGTTCCCATGCTTGTCAAATGTTTCATTCTGTATTTAACTATTACAATCGCCATCTGTACAGTTTGTCAACATGAGGTCCGTGCCAAAGTCATAACAGATCGATTTGTGACCTTGTAACAACTTTTAAATCTTACCTCAAACACTCCAACAGGCCCTTCATGTCGACCCGGATACCAAACAAGAAGGGTAATATTACGTGCCGCCGTGTACACATTACTTGTATACACTACCCAACGGTCAAAACTGCCGTTCATTCAGCTTGGCACCTTAGATATGCAAATGAGCGTCTTCGAATCGGCCGCGTGCTCCTTAGCACTTTTGGCATTTGATTATACCGTATAACGTTTATCGTTCAATTTTTCATGCAGCAAGGGAATTGTATAGGTTAAATCTTACACGAAGGCTTAACTTTTCACTACACAATGGGACAGAGTGAAGACAAAGACGGCTTTAACTGACACAAAGTCGTAAAAATAGACTAGAGCGCCGCCATTTTGGGTCACAACGTGGAGCATGACGGGATACCAATCAATTTCTTACGACAACTTTTACTAAAACCATTGTTCATTGGCTACGATTAGCAGCTGGTCTGGATTCTAACCAATCGGATGTGTTATAAGTAAAACCATTGTTTTGCCAAGTGGGCACAGTCCAAATACACAAAAGGGAGTTTTAACCATTTTGCTGTTGTATATTTCATAACAATAGCCCATCAACATTAATAATCAAACATTTAAAGACTTAAAGAAAATTGTAAAAAAAAAACAATTTATCTTAAACGTTCATTCTTTTTGGCAAAATGTCTGGAATATTTTGACTGTGAAAAAAAGATTGGATCTTTTGTTCCATTTTATTAGAGTGGAATATTCCACATGACGTGTCTCTTGGGGGCGGAAGTGGAAGAAGTTGGAACATTTATGTTGTAAGACCCGAGGCAGTGTAACTATAGTTAGCCAGTGCAGAGTGGCCGGATACACCTTTGCTTCGGCCCAGAGTGCGAAACTTTACAAGAAGTAAGAAATCACGGTAAGTCTGAGCATTTGGTAGTTGTCCTTTGACTGTAACACAGTCAGAGAGGCTGTCGAAGTCATTTATGTCTTGCCAGGGCAGGCTACGGAAGGTTGACATTTTGACCAGAAGACATGATGACCTCGTCGTTGGAACATTTGATATGAGCCAATTATTACACGTTTTATATCGCCTATAAGCTTGGTACTGTAGTAAATACAAAATTTATAAAAGTTGTTGCAGCATACGAAGCGAAGGCTTTTTGGCAGGGGAGCACTGATGATGTAAATTTATGATATGTTGACGGATAAAATTTGCTTATGATTCGTGGTACTCTAAAAATCAAAGCGAACCGAAAAAATTATTGTACCGTTTCCGTAGTTTCAGATTCTGCAATGTCCGAGATCAAAGTAAATTTGCCAGAACAATTATAATACTCCTGATGTTGACACATATAACGCGGTTGCTCTTTAGATTTGTGTTGACAAAGTTCCTGGGAAAACGATGACATGATGACTTAAATCATCAGAAGAAGAATGGTCGTGTGCGCCATAATGGTATTATGTGGAACTGCTGATGGAGTAGCCTGGGTGCCAGACTGTTTCCAGGGCTTGCACAGGCCAGTTCCTCGGCTACAGGGCCAACATGCCCCCAAGGAAATTATACCACAGCCCCCTCACTTAGGCCCAGGCACGTTGGGCAACTGTAGGCCTTGGTCTGGCATCCAGGCTACTGATGGAGTGCTAAAGGCCGTACCAGGACCTTTGATCTCATCTCTTTTGCACCTGTTGACAGTCTGTGCAGCAAGTGATGCATGATGTACACATGTATATCTGATAATATTTCCATGCTAACATATATTAAAGGCGCCCAAAACAATTAGGGCAGTAAGATTGGATTTCCAATGTCAATTTTCTGGTCATTTTTCAATGTAGTAAGTTGAATCAACCCTAACGAATCCTATAATAGCATGCTGATATCTGTGACAGTGTGAGACAGAAATGTAGAGTCGCTGATAGAAAACAGTTGCTTGTTTCGTATCATAGGCTAGTCCTAGCTATGAATTGGTGGTACCAAAAAATAAAGGGACTCCCCACTGCGCTATTTCAAACGCCTGAAGTTTAAAATGATGACAAAAATGTGGCAGATTTTATTGTCCAGAATTTATTTCTTATTTTGCCACCCTGAAATTGCAAATTAGAAGCCTTAAAAAGTGTTTACTCTTGTGATTGCACCTTCAATCACCCATTTGTTATGCTGCTTTTACCAGAGATTGTCCTATGTTTGCCTTGCAGCAGATTGTGTGAAGTGATTTGGAGGTAAATGCTGCACAGTGTTGCTTGCCCATTGTTTATTTATCATTGTCAAGGGGCATGAGTCATGATGCCTGGTGGTAGGCCTGACACTGTTTTTCAGGAATGTGGATGTTTACTTTCACGGTTTCAACAAATACAAAGACTATGTCGAGAGCATTTAACGCCATGTCCCCTCCATTTGTATTAATAATAATTACTTAGTACTGAGTGATAATATGAATTGAAGCCAACTTTGATGAACTGTTAGATTTGGAACAACAGTTGGCTTTTCGACAAATTCACAGATGACAATGCACTTTGATGTAGTAAATGTAGAATTTGGTCACCTTGTTGCCTCCATTTATAATTTATTATTATAATGATAAGTTCTGAAACCAATTTTTTTGAATGATGACGTGTCAGATTTGGCATTCCAGTTGGCTTACATCCTTTAGAGTAAATGTCCATAATGTATATGACACAAGCTTATACACAAAGACCCTTTTGGATAGATGTCAACCTATCTTCCTGGTATGGAATTGTTCATATTTCATATACCAAATTTGTCATGGTTACAACATTAATCAGCAGAAAGAAATTGTACTACTAGTAAACATTTGTAGGGCGCGAAATTCATTTTGTTTTGCTGCCAGTAGCACCAGGTCATCTAACCTATGAGTTCAGGTACACAGAAATGATTTTGGCTGCACAACATATAGAACAAAGTAGAAATTGCCAGCATGAAACCTTTATAAATTATGCCTCTTTTCTGCTGCAGCTGGAATCTGAAATTCTGTTAAAAAATCAAAGTAACTAATACAACAAAGGCTGTATTATTTGTCTCTTGTGTTATATATGTAAAACATGTAGCCACATTAACACTGAACAATAGTCATATTACCTTTCATATTGTATGTTACCCTGCACTACATATTGATATAATGAATGTCTTCAACAACTTCAAAGTTCAAGTGCACTGGTGCACTCAGTCAAAAATACAGCTCCTGAATTATAGGTGCACAAAAGTACAGTCTTGTATGCATCCAGTATATACATACGTATTTGAAGCCCTGAACATGTAAAGGAACTGTCATCAGAAAGGAATCCTAGTTGCAGCATTCATGTGTACATATAACCACAGAATGTTGATCGATATGTTTGCCTTTTGAGATGGCAAAACTATCCTATTAATCATTCATACAGACAGTGTCTAATCATATCATACCAGCTAGATTGTCAGTTCAGTACCTTGTGTTATTATTTATGTGGTATGCATAATATATTATATCACATTTGGCTGATAAACGAAGATGGTAGTAACCAAACATTTAAAGTTAAACACCCCATGCAGTTCCAATGCATTCAGGATAGTATCCAATTCACCACGATAGGCTGGCAGAAAAAAAGATACCTGTAGTCGGGTACAGTTAAGAAAGTTTGATTAAAATGCCTGAAAAGACATTAAATATAAGCACACTCAAGCCTAAATCTCTGCCTGGAGAGTAGCAAAGGACATAAGGAAATAAACAAGAAATTGCTTATATGTGTTCAGCCTTCAGGGCACGTCAAATATGTGCAAGTGATAGCACTAGAATGTTGTTGTATGATAAGAGTTACATGAGGTACCTTAAGAGAGTAAGACTTAACATTAACCATGGTTGAACTTTGGAACTATACTCAGAGCTCGAAATACCACCTGTGTATGCAGGTTAGTGCAGATATTTCTGATGTCTGCCTGCACCCAATTTGCACTGGTGCATGTACTGGGTTTATATGTAGGTGTATGTGGATTTTTATTTTCTACATTGACTGTTACCACCAGTATAATGTATAAAGTAAAATCCTAATGGCAATGGTTTCTGAACAGTTTTTAGTATGATCCCTACTACTAGAAATTCCAAGTGGTAAAATTTGTCTGGTGCAGTAACTTTCAAAACCTCCTTACTTTCAATCAATGTCAACCTGCACCTGAGTGCAGGTATGCAGAAAAAAGTAATTTTGAGCCCTGATCAAAGACAACTACGAAAAAAAATATCTTAGTTACTTCAATATTTCTTAGGGACTGTACGATATTTACCGGGGGGGAGGCTGGTGCAAAATGGTCCGG